TGTGTGTGTGTGTGTGTGTGAGAGAGAGAGAGAGAGAGAGAGAGAGAGAGAGAGAGACAGACAGACAGACAGACAGACAGACAGACAGACAGACAGAGACAAAGAGTCCCCCAACATGGGTGCTGGGAACTGAACTGGGGTCCTTTGTAGGAGCAGTACATGCTCTTAGCTACTGAGCCCTTTCTCCAGTCCAACTACACTTAAATGACTAATTTTCAAAAACTCATTTTAAAATCACATGTATTTATTTAGTTATGTGTGTCATGGTGCATGTGTCGAAGTCAACGGGTTACCTGCGGGTGTTCTTTCCTTTTGCCAAAGGGGTCCTGGAGATGAAATTCAATAATCAGACGTGGCAGCAAGGGCTTTACCTGCTGAGCCATCTTGCCAGCCTCCATACTCACCAATTTCTTCCAAGGTGTTCATCACTGTGATTAAATTCCAAATGAAATACACAAGTTACTTAAGAGTGTGTAATGTTTCCTTTTCCTGCTGTGACTTAAAAGGACACACACACACACACACACACAGATATTCTGGAAAGACAGCTGGGACAGGGCTTCATCATGTATGAAAATGACCATAGAGAAGTCAGAGCAGCAATTGACAAAACTGAACACCTAGGGACATTTACAGCAAAACTAGGTAACAGGACAGGGAGCGCCAACAGCCGTCATATAATGAGCATCTCTGTGGGAGAGAGAGAAATAGCAGGGCAGCAGACAGATCTGAAAATCCACGAGAGGCAGGGCGGAAAGCACAGAGGCTCAATTTGAGAGCAGCAGTGGAAGCTGAGGGGCTTTTCATGCCAACGACCGATGAGAACAAAGAGCCGCAGTGAGACCTGGAACGATGTGGTGCTCCAGCCTCTTTGTACACGAACTCCCAAGATGGAGTGGCCCAGAGTGTGCCATTGGAGACAGGACTTATCCTTCAAGGAACTTCTAGGAGAGGACATGAGCTTCAGTAAGAGAAAGGCAGAAGGTGCAAAGAAAGAGAAGGCTCAGGTCAACATGGGGAAGGGGGAAAGATCCGGCAGAAGAAAACAGCTGTAAAAATAAATACCCCTTGAATTTTAGATTGTGAACTGCCATTTCTGACATGACATCGAAACAACAGAAGAGAGGGCCTGTGAGATTACAGAGGCTGTTTGAACACACACCACCTCCCACCATCAGTGTTATCTAGCTCTTCCATAATCAACCTAACCAACAGAAAAACATCAGGGTGAAAGGTTCTGTAAAGAAAAGGAATAAACAGTATTATCACATGCCTACAGATAGCACAAATATGTGTGCCAGGAAGACCCACTCAGCAAGAGATCAAAATATAGTACAACCTATGTCTAGTGAGGAAAATACAAACTGAAGGTCTCAGATGAGAGCCAGTGAGTGGTTCTGCAGATAAAGACACCTGCCATGCAAGCCTCATGACCTGAGTTTGGTCCCTAGAACCCGTGGTAGAAAGAGAGCAACGATCCCGAGTTGTCCTCTGACCTCCACATGTGTGAGGGTGCAGTGAGAGAATTTGTCTCCAAAAATAGCGTGGAGGGGCTGGAGAGATGACTTGGTGTGTCCCGTGCTTTCTGTACCAGCATGAAGACCTGAATGTGGATGCCCAGCACCCTTGTAAAAAGCCAAGTGTGGTGGCATGGCCCTGTGAAGCCAGTGCTGGGCTTGAACACAGGTGGATCCCTGAGGCTTGCTGGTCAGCCAGTCTAGCTGAAGCATTGAGCTTAAGGTTCAGTGAGAGGCCTTGTTTATGAACAAGCACTAAATGTGAAGAGCATTAAAGACAGACAGACGGTATCAATGTCTGTCCTCCACATGTGTACACATAGGTGAGCACACACACAACCATAACATAAACTTTGGGGGAGGGGATAATTTTAGATTTATTGAAAAATTAAGTAAGATAGTACATGGAATTCCTATATAGCCTTTACCTAGCTTACTCCATGGTAAACATAACCATGCTGCATCTCTCCAAATTCAGAAACCAACACTGGCCGGGTGGTGGTGGCACACGCCTTTAATCCCAGCACTTGGGAGGCAGAGGCAGGGAGATCTCTGTGAGTTTGAGGCCAGTCTGGTCTACAGAGGTAGTTCCCAAACAAACAAACAAACAAACAAACCAGCACTATAACACTGCTGTTAACTAAACTGCAGGCTCTATTTATATCTCACCAGTTTTCCCATCTATGTCTCTTTTCTGTTCTAGATGGAAAGCGTTAACACTGGAAACCACACACAGAACTACATGACTGCATACCCTCCACAAGGCCCAGCATTAAAAATATTACTACTTAAAGCTTCCTAAAATGCACACACATACGAAGAGGATCTAAATGAAACTGCTAAATAATGGGAGAGACAGAACCCCATCTGGACCTCTCTTGTCACCAAATGAAACTTCCAGTCCTGGGACTGGGTTACATATAATTGAGTTGTTGGCCTAAGGAACTCCCAAACTACCCAGGCTGTTGCCAAGACTATAGGCTGCTCCCCACAAACTCACAGCTGAGGACAACACCTATACAACTCACTGAACATGGAGAAGCCAAGCTGTTGTCTACATGGAGCCTTCACCCCTACATTCTACCATCTTTGGTACAGGAAGGCACTCTGCATATTACCACAAAAGAAACATGAACACTAACCTGGCCACAAACCCCTTATCTACAATGGTGTCCTGCCTGTAAGATATGCTAGGGCAATGGTGGCACAAAGCTTGAGGGAGTAACCAACCAATATCTGATTGGACTTAAGGCCCACTCCAGGAGATGGAACCCATACCCAACACAGCTTGAGTGACCAAGAGCCTGAGACTAGATAGCCCAGGGACCAGGGACTTAGGATAAAACCAAATAGTATTGTTCTTTAAAAAACAAACAAACAAAAATAAAAAACAAGACAAACAAAACAAAACAAAAAGCCTAATGACTTTTTGTTATACTCACGGATTAGGGCCTTCCTCAGCCATCATCAGAAAGCTGCAGATGGGAACACATACAGAGACCTACAGCCAGACACTATGCAGGGAATGAAAGACCTTAGAACACTTGGCTCTAATGGGATGTCTCCATCAAATTCCTCCCCTCAGGGATCAGGGAACCCTTCAGTAGTGGAGGCAGAAAGAGTGTAAGAGCCAGAGGGGATGGAGGACACTAATAAAACTAGGCCCTCAGCCAGGCATTGGTGGTGCACGCCTTTAATCCCAGCACTCGGGAGGCAGAGTCAGGCGGATCTCTGTGAGTTCAAGGCCAGCCTGGCTACCAAGTGAGCTCCAGGAAAGGCGCAAAGCTACACAGAGAAACCCTGTCTCGAAAAAAAAAAAAAACAAAAAAACAAAAAAAAAAACCTAGGCCCTCTAATTTAATAGGTTCAAAGCTCATATAAACTCACAGAGACTGAAATAGCATTCACAGGGCCTGCATGGGTCTGCACCAGGTCCTTTGTGTATATATTATGGCTTCCAGTTCAGTGTTTTTATGGGATTCCTGAGTGTTGCAAACACGTTTATCTCTTCTTTCTTGTGCCTTCTTTTGGGCTCCTTTCCTTTGTTGGGTCCAGAATCTTGCAATAATGGGGGACAGACCATCAAAGTCTATTAAACCAGAAGCAAACTTTATTCCAAAGAAAAATAAAATAAAATAAAATAAAATAAAAATCATCACAGGGCATTAAAGCTTATCAGCTAGCTGAGACCACAGCCAGAGTTGGATTTTGAGGCTGTAGCAGTTGGAAGGGAGTTATGAGCCCCGTTTTATTGTAAGGGGAAAGGTGTTAGGCAGGAAGTGCATACTGGGAGTCATGTAGAAACATCAGACATGGGGTGCATGCTAGAAGTCCCGTAGAAACAACTATTAAAAGTTAACTTTGGTCTAGGCAGTTGCTGGCTATAAGGGGCAAGGGGGTTAAAAGTTAACCCCTGGCTGTTGACAGAGGAGCTGGCTGTAAGCAGAGAGCCATTGTTAGAAGTTAACCTTTAGAGCTGATGACTGATGACTCTTAAGCTTATAATTTTATATTTCTATATTCCAGGACCCTTCACCTTCTGTTTGTCTTGTCCAAATCTGATGTGTTAGTTTTTGTTTTATCTTATTATTATCCATTAGAAGCCCATTTGTTTGCTAATGAAAGACAGAAAGGGAGTGAATTTGAATGGGAGGGGAGGTGGGGAGGAACTCGGAGGAGTAGAGGGAGGGGAAACCATAATCAGGATATATTATGTAAGAAGAAAAGCTAGTTTCAATAAAAGGAAAAAAAATACTACTCATGAGAAGGAGCAAGACTGTGATCCAGAATCAGGAAAAAAAAAAAATCCACCAATAGAAACAGACACAGATATTAAGGATGTGATGCAATTAACAGGAAGGAGCTTTAAATAGGGATACTTGAGGATTTAAATGATAATGAACTTAATAAGGAAGGGAACAGTTTAGATATAAAAATAGTGACATGGAAATGCCAAGGTGACAGACCATAGAAAATACAGAAGATAACAAATTCTCTGGATGGGCATCATTAACAGACCAGACACTGCAGAAAAGATGAGTGAACTTGAAAACAAAGCAGTAAGAGCCATTCAAACTGAAATACAGAGAGCAGAAAGAGACTGGAAAAAATTGTCCATCACCTCTGTCCCCTACAGGGCAGTAACAAGGGCATATTGTATGTCTAGTTGGGATCCCAGAGGAAAGCACAGGAGAAATAGCAGCAGAGAAGTTTCTATATCTGATAAAACTATAAATCCACAGACTCAGAAAGCTCAACAAACCCCAAGCAGGATAAGATAGACATAAAGTAAACCACACCAAGGGACAACAGAACTAAACTGCTAGAACTCAATGACGCAGAAAAAAAAAAAATCTGAAACTCAGCCAAACAAAAGATACACCATGTACAGGAGACACACATATGAGGGAGTGCAGAACAAGTCTTTGTTTTTAACATCTATGAAGGGCTAACAGGAAAATCTGTCAACCTAGACTTCTCTATCCAGGAAAAATACCTTTTAAGAACTAAGGTGAGACTGTAGCTCAGTTGGTAGACTGCCTCGCATGCATGTGGCCCTGGGCTCAATCCCCAGCACCTCAGAAACCTGGCTGTAAACCCAGCAGTCAGGAGGTAGTAGCAGAAGGATCGCAAGTTCAAGGTCATCCTTGAATACTTATCGTGTTTATTGTTGCATGTCTTAATCATTGTTCTATTGGTGTGGAAAGATACCATGACTAAGGCAACTCAAAAGAGAAAGCATTTTAAAATAAAAAACACAAGTAACAGCTCATGCTGGTGAGGATGTGGAGCAAGGGAAATACTCCTTCATTGCTGATGGGAGTGCAAACTTGTACAGTCACTATGAAGATCAACATGAAGGTTCCTTAGAAAACTGGGAATCTATCTACCTCAAAACTCAACCATACCACTCTTGGTCATATACCCAAAGGACACTCCATCCTACCACAAGGACACTTGCTCAATTCTGTTCATAGCAGCTTTATTTATAATAGCCAGAAACTGGAAACAACCTAGATGTCCCTCAACAGAAGAATGGATAAAGAAAATGTGGTGTATTTACATAATGAAGTATTAGCTGTTAAAAACAATGACATCATGAAATTTGCAGGCAAATGGATGGAATCAGAAAATTCATCCTGAGTGAGGTAACCCAGACCCAGAAAGACAATATGGTATATACTCACTTATAAGTGGATACTAGCTGTTGAGTAAAAGATCATCATGCTACAATCCTCAGACCCAGAGACACTAAGAAACAAGGAAGGGCTCAAGGGGGGATACATGGCTCTCCCTGGGAAGTGGAAATAGAATAGAGTTTTTGGGTGGACTGGGGGCAGGTGGGGATGGAAATAAGAGGGCTCAGGTGAGGTGAGTGGGGGAGGGGTAGAGGGAGAGAGTACTGGGAGAGCACTGGAACTGGGGGGCATTTGGGGAACGGTGTAGAAACCTAGTGTAGTGGAAACTCCCTGACCCTAGTGAAATCTCCTAGTAATGGGGAATATGGAACCTGAACTGTCCGTCTTCTTTAACCAGGCAAGGCTCCCAATAGTGGGACTGAAGTATCAACCCTACCACAAAACCTTTGACCAACAAACTGTTGTGCCTTGAGATGTGGGGTAATGGTGGTGTAGAACCTGTGGGAGTGGCCAGCCAATGACTGGTCCAACTTGAGGCCCACGCCTTGAGAGGGAGCCCAAGGCCTGACACTGCCTGGATGACCAGGACCCAGAGGCTGGACATCCCAGAGACCCAGGATAGAACCAAACATGACTGGCAAAAAAAAAAAAAAAAGTCAATGAAATGATTAATGTCATAATGAGGCCTATTTCTTTGTATATTGACTTTAAAAATTAACAAAACAAAATCCCCAGAGAAGCAACTTTGTGCTGTTTACAAGATGAAACTCACTTTACATTAAAGACCCAGGTGGGTTAAAATTAAATAAAGAGAAAATATATACCTTGCAAGCACTAAACTATATTAGAGAAGTGGAATGGCTCTATTAATACAAAGCAAAATAGATATCAAGACAAGAAAAACTGCCAAGGCTAATGAGGAACTTAGCTCAACACTGAAAAGATTGCTTAATGAATGTTTTAAATGTGTACACCCAACAGAGCTTCAAAACACATTTGTCAAATGCTGACAAAGAGCTAGGGAAATGGCTCAAAAGCAAAAGTAGAAATGGATGAATCACGAGTGTAGCTGGGGATCCCATCATTCCATTTTTGGAAACTGATGGAGCAGACAGACGACCAGTGAGAATTAAGAACACAGGCTGGGTTGGGCAGTGGTGGCACATACCTTTAATCCCAGCACTCAGGAGGCAGAGGCAGGAGACTCTCTGAGTTCAAGGCCAGCCTGATCTACACAGCAAATTCCAGGACAGCCAGGGCTACCCAGAGAAACCCTGTCAACAACAACAACAACAACAACAACAACAACAATAACAACAAACCGACAGAGAGCCCAGTATGCCTGAAGCTCCTTGGTTTGATCCCTACAGCTGCATAAACCTGGCATGGGGGTGCACGCCTGTAACTTGGCAGGTAGAGGTAGGAGGATCAGAAGGTCAAGGCCGCCCTCAGCTAAGTACCAAATTTGAGGCCAGCCTGAAAACAAAGGGTTGGGTGTGGTGGCGAATGCCTTTAATCCCAGGACTAGTGTGGTAAAGGCAGATGACTTGCTATGAGTTCAAGGCCAGCCTGGTCTACATAGTGAATTTCAGGCCAGCAAGACTACATAGTGAGACCCTCTCTCAAAAGACCAAAAAACAAAAAACAAAAACAAAAACAAACACCTCCCAAGCAAAACCAATGAAACAAACAAACAAACAAACAAACAAAAAACAAAACAAAGGATTACGCACCATCCCTGACTGGCCTGTTTAACAATTATGGAACACTAGTGCTCAGCCATACCAGAACATACATTCTTTGCAAGTACACGTGTAACAGTCTCCAAAATAGAACACAATAATGGGTCATGAAGTATGTCTCAATCAACTTGAGAGTTGAAACTGCATGGAGTCTCTGACTGCAAATGAATTAAATGGGAAATCATCACCACCAACAAAATGCACAGATATTAAAAGAGTTCTCTGAATAACTTAGGTCACAGGAGGGAAAGTATATGCTAACCGAAAGGCAATGAAAACTCAAGGCATCAGAACTGGTGTATGGAGCTGACAGTAGTTCCAAATACATTTAACTTGAAATGTTCACATTAGAAAAGAAAGGGTCCACTCCCTTGACCCCAAAACACCTGAAAATGGCAAATCGAATCATAAATAATGAATGGAAATCAGGGGCTAGAGAAACAACTCAGTGGTGAAGAGCACTTGCTGCTCTTGCAGAGGCTCAGGTTTGGTTTTCAACACCTACATGGTGGCTCACAGCCATTTATAACTCCAGTTCCAGGGGATCCAATGACCTTTCTGACTTCTGTGGGCAAGAAGCACACATGTGGTACACATGCATACATGTGGTAAACAATCATCCACAGAAAATAAATACATCTAAAAAAAAAGAGTGGAAATAAATGAGATAGAACAGAAAAATAGTAGAGTCAACAAAACTGAAAGTTTGGTTTTTAAAAAGGTTGATAAAATTGGCAAGAAAGAGAGAGAGGGGCTTTAGAAATGCAAAAGGGGCCATCATAACAGACCCTATAGGTATTTTATCAAGGGAATACTGTGAACAGTATGTACTTAATAAATGAAGTCTATTGTGCATTAGAATGGAATATTACCCACCTGCAAACTCACCTAAAGAATAGATGAAGGGCTTCACTTAGTTTATTCTAGGTGGTCAGCTTTATCTTGACTCCACAGCCAGATAAAGATGTTCCAAGAAAACTAAGGACCAACATCTGACATGAGTTCTTAAAATATCAGTAAACTGGAAACAACAGCATCTGAAAAAGAACATAAATCATGACCAAATGGGGCTTATTCCAGGAATGAGAGGCTGATTTATAATTCAAAACAGAAAGATCCACCAATATGTGGAAATTAGTTAATTACTCACAGATTTTACCTAGTTTTGCACAGTTTAATTTTGTACATTTGAAAAATTGAGTATCGGAGATGGGGAGCTGGCTCAGCAGATAAGGGTGCTTACTCTGCAAGTATGAGGTCTTGAGTCTAAATCCCTGGCCCTCCAGTAAAGGCTAGGAATGGCCCTGCCTGCCTGTTACCCCAGCATGGAGGCAGAGAACACCAAGGAGAAAGGTGGGTTCTGAGAGCTTGGAGGCCAATTAGCCAAACACTCAGAGCTTCCATGTTCAGTGGGAGACCCTGCTTCAAGCAATAAAGCAGAGAGTAGAAGACGCTGGCACTCTGCTCTGGCCTCTGTGTGCACGTGTACTGGTGCTCACACTTGCACACTCCTGTGTGTGCACACACACATACATGCACGCACTGTTTTTCTTTTTCTTTTTTTTTTTTAATAATGTAGAACTTATTTGGATGTTTGATGCCAGTGACAATAAATTCAGATGATTTGTTGAATAATTTCATATTTCTTACATTTTATGTTTCCTTTGCTATGTATTAAGTTATTGATTTACATATTTGTCAAGTACTTTTGCTAGTACTGTCATTTAATAATATTTAGTAATAGTATTTTAAACATTATTTATTTATTTGTTTATTTATTTTGGAGATGGGTCTTAGGTAGCCAAAGGTAGTCTTGAACTTTCTAGCTGAGGGTAGTCTTAACTCCTGATCCTTCTTCCTCTGCCTCTACTGAGTATTGGGATTACAAGCATGTGCCACCATGCCTAGTTCATAGTTGACTTCTTTTTTGATACAGGGTCTTTCTATGTTGCTTAGGCTAATCTCACACTTGTGATTTTCCTGCCTCAGCCTCCTGAGTGCTGGAATTACATGTGGATACCACAATGTCACCTGTAATAGTTTTGAACCAAATTATTTACATCTGGCAAAGCAAAGGAGATTTCCTGCCCCGCCTGCTTTTTAAAGTATTGCTGTAGGTCTTATTTCTTAAAATTAAATGTATTTATTAATAGGTAATACATCCACTTGGCTGAAAACTCTTACAATAGACTAGAGTATCACAGACATAGTAAATATTACTACTAATTGCTTTGTATTCTTCTGTAGATATTTTGTGTATAAGCTAATGTTGCAGAGGCTGACCTTGAACCTCAGCATTTAAATGATTCTCTTGCTTCATCTTCCCAAGAAATTGGAAACACAGGAGTATACCACCGCACACAGGTGCACAATCTTTTAAATGTGTTGCATTTTCCACTTAAATTTATATCGTTGGTGCTCATCCCCTTCAGAATACAAAGCTTTCCTCGTTATCCCTTTTCATAGATGCATAGTGTACCATTGAATGGAGATTGTTTATTGATGGTTCTTTAGATCATTTTTAGTTTTTTAAAATGCAGAAGCAATAGATAGGAATAACATTGTGCATACATTTTTAAAACATAGATCCAAGGATATCTGTAGGATACGCTTGTACATTATAGTGCATGTTGCACACATTCATTATATAATTTAGTCTCTAAAAGAGAAATTAGTAGATTAAAACATGCATATTTGTGATGTTAAAGTATTGCCACATTGTTGCATTGCCTGTACAAATACACAAAACTGTGGAATAGCAAGAAATATGTATTTACAGTTCCTTAGTCCTTGACACAGATCTAAGACCCCTGGAAATGTGCTGGAAGTATCTTTGTCCTAACAAAATGACTATTTGGGGGGCTCCTGGAGGAGACCTAGTCACCCGAAAGACCCAGCCATTTTCAGCCCCAGTCCCACAATCCCCAAGGAGGGAAGAGGAGCTGGAGCTGGAATGAAAAATTGATCAGACTTCTGTGAGGAAGCCCCCACAAATGCCCCCCAGGTACAGGCCTGGCTGAGTGTCTGGGTGTGTCAATGTATCCATAGACTAAGAGGCAGCACATGCCAGCTCCGTAAGGACAGAGCCCTGCACACTTCCAATATGACTCTATGCACCTCTCCTCTTGTCTCTTTGTCACATCTGTCATTATATATAAACCAGTAAATGTATTGCTTTGAGTTTCTTCGGCCATTGCAACAAATTATTAAAAACAAGCAGAGAATTGTGGGATTCCCCAATCCATAGCTGATTGACACAGAGGTAAGCTGCTTATAACTGCTGTCTGAAGTGGGGTTAGTCTTGAGGGTTAAGCTCTTAGCCTGTGGGGTGTGCACTTTCTCTGGGCGGCTACTCTCAGAATGGAGTTAAATGGTAGGGCACTCGGCTAGTGTCTGCAGAGAATTATAGGAGTGTAAGAAGGACAGCTGGCCTTTCCTCTAAGACGCCACCAGCAGTGTGTGAAGGTGCCTGCCAACCCACGTCTTCATTGTGGTCTCAAACTTTTTGATTGTTAACGTTTTGTCCTGTTAATTGTTTTAATTCACATTTATTCTATTCTTAGTGAGTTTTAAAGCTCTCCTTAATGATTAATTTATTCCTAGAATTTATTTCAGTGGAATTTTAATATACAGCATTGATAACTAAGGTCTGATTGATAATTTTTTTCCTAATGTATCTTGTTTATTTTGTATTTTCTTTTACTGCATTGGCATTAATTTCTAGAGCAATATTAAGGAATAGCACTGAAGCTGAATATCCTTTTGAGTTGCTGATTTTAATGAACCAATTATAATTTTTCTTTTTATTGTATTTTAATTTTAAATAAGATATTGCCACTCTTTATTATGTTAAGAGATCCTGGCCTATCCATCCTATATTTTAAAAGTAAGACAAACCAACAAACAAATGGAAATTTATGTGGATTTTTAGCCAATGTTTTCACATTGTGGGTCTGAGCGATTTACTTTCTTACTGATGAGCTGTGTGTGTGTGTGTGTGCAGTCCTATGTATGCATGTGTGTGAGAATATGTATGAAAGCCAGAGGTCAGCCTTCATCTTGTTATTTTTTTGTATTTTTTTTATCTTTTATGTATATGAGTGTTTTGCTTGCATGTACGCCTATGCCTTATCTGTGTGTCTGGTGCCTGCAGAGGCCAGAAGAGGGCATCAGATCCCCTGGAACTAGAATTAGGAATGGTTGTGAGTTGCCATGTGAGTTCTGGGAATCAAAACTGGGTCCTGTAGAAGAGCAGCCAGTGCTTTTAGCTGCTGAGCCATCTCTCCAGCACCCCCCCTGCCCCCCGCCACTTGCTTTTTGAGACAGGGTCGAGACCCAGAGCATGCCATTTGGGCTAAGCTGCCTGGCAGTGAGCTCCAGGGATCCGCCTGGGTCAGTCCCCCTAGTGCTGGGGTTAATCTGCTCTTTACATAGGGGCTGGGACTCCAGTTCTGGGTCCTCAAGCTGGTGCGGCAGGCACTTGCCAACTGAGCTACCCAGCCGCCACCCCACTTTTGACAGAAGAGCTCCCGTATCCCAGGCTGGTCTTGAACTTGCTATGTAGCAGAAGATGATCTTGAACTCGTGATCATGCTGGCTCTGCCTCTCAAGTGTTAGCCTGTGCTACCATGCTGGGTGTATGTGATGTTGTGGATCAAACCCAGGACTTCGTGCTTGCTTGGTGAATGCCATATCAACCGAACCACACCCCAGCCCATGCTGTTTAATTTTAAGTACCAGAGGAAGCCCTATCTCATCACCATGGGTGCTTCTTCTCCACATACTTTACTGACCTTGTTATTGTTCAGTTTTTTTTCCCCTGTTGCTTCCTGTGTGTGCACTGTTCCTGACAGGTCTTGTTACCAGAGTTTTGAAGAGCTCATAAAATGAAGAGAGTAGCTTTTCTTCTTTATCCCCTTCCCAACAAATTCTTCTCTGCTCTCCTGGACTGGAGAAGGCAGGGCTGGCCAAGTTCAGACCCGCTCCAGGACCTTCAGTGACCTTCAGCCAGTTCCTGGCTTTCTTCTTGCCTCTCACAGTGTTGTCTCTGGCATTTCTGCCTCTCCCTGGGCCTGGCTTCCCAGCCTGCTCCCCAGCATCTTTGCTTCAACCTGAGCTGGCCTCTGAGTGAACCCAGGGGAGGGGATTTCCTTGGCAGATGGAGGTTCTCCCTAAGCCCCTCCCACTTCCTGCGGGAGCTCTCCCAGCTGGGCTTCCACCTCTGGCCTTCTGCAGTCTTGGCCTGCCCCCTGGCCACCATGTGTGTCCCCGGCATGGCTTCTCATAGCCACAAACATTGAGACTAGGGTGTACTTCCCCGCGTTCGCTATTGAGAGATGGACTGACCATTGGAGGAGCTCCCAAGAGCAGCTGGTTTGAAGGGGTTGTTGCAAGGCAATGGGCTTGTTCTGGTTGCTTCCAAAGGAGAAGGATCACAGGGCAGACTTAAAGCTGGATGGTACCTACAAGGGAAACAAGAATTGGATGTCTACCCACAGACTGTGGCAGGGCTGCACAGTTGTGCAAGTCCCAGAATGGCCTTTGTCCTGCTCTTTGAAATAACTTGTATGTCCAACCTTCCTGTCCAGCTCTCACTGAACAAAACCAGATGCTGAGGCCCGAGCTATGCACTACAGTGCCTGGCTTAGGATGACTGTTTTCTTGTCATCTCCCCTGATGCCATCTGAAGCCAAGGCCACCACATCTAGACTCTGACTGATTTGGGGTTTGAATCCTGTACATGTCATTTACTTGCTGTGGGATTTGGGTCACACGGGCTTAGAGACGAGAATGAGATACTGGAATTAGATGATATTAGCTTTCCTGATGGACAATGGACATTGACTAGTTTGTGAGTGAGCAATAGAGTGCTTAGGCCTGGACAATAATAAAACATGCTCTAACCAAAGCAGTTAGTACACATGAGAATGTGAACAAAAGTGTGTGGTCCTATGGAGTCTACAGCAAGACAAGATCGAGTGCTACAATGTCCCAGTCACGGCCAGCTCCCTCTGTGGAAGAGGCCTTCTGGGGAGACGACAGCTTTGGCCTGGATGAGAGAGGCTGGGCCAAGTAGTGTGCGTAAGCACTTGAGGTTACTAGGACTTCAGCTTCTACACCAAAGGAAGAGAACTGGGGTCAGCAGGTTGATGCAAACTTGGCCCAGCGGGGCCTACTAACAACCATAGTCAGTGGTCAGATCAGGGCGAGAGGTTTGCCCATCCCTGTGAAATGGGTCGGGGGCTGCCTTTAAGGGTCCCAGGGGATTGGCTGGTGAAATTGAGTGGGCATGTGACCTCAAGTCCATGGACTCTTCCTTGTGGTGAGGTGAGGGTAGGGTGCAGTGTAAGGAGTGAGGGAAGGTGAAGGAGAGCACCGAACTTGAGGCAGAGGAACCCAGCAATCTTGATTCTTTGGACTGGTATGTGGGGAGGCAGTAGAGAGTGACTGGGGGCGGGGAGTACTGCCAGAGTTTTCATATTTATTTATTCACTTATTATTTATTTAGCACAGCCTTGCAAAAGTCTCTTCCTGCCTGGGATCTAAATCCCAGGCTCCAGCTCTAGCCCCTCCCCCGCCTTTCTGCAGTTTGTTGCTCTTAGGCTGAAGAATCATGAGTCCCATTTGCCAAATATTTCCAGCTTTCTTCTCTCCCAGGCACGTGATGCGATTGTACTTCTTGGCTCCATGTGGCTGGCTGGAGATGGAGTGACAATTTATGGCCAGTGGATTGTGCATGGGAGGGACATACATCATTTCTGGGCTAGAGCATTTCATCACCAGTGCAGGGCCTTCCACGGGGCTCTCCTTCTGCCAGTGGTGGAGATGGCCTTCAAGATGGTGGCTGCTCTTTCAATAAAAAGTGGAACAGACCCCTGGTGTGGACAGGGAGCACGAGGGAAGCATCCCTCTGCTGTCCTAAAGCTCCTGTTTCTAGCCACAATATGACACTTTAGATCTGGGTCTTCTCTCTATTCCCACAAGCATGCTGATTTTCTTTCTTTCTTCCTTCCTTTCTTCCTTCCTTCCTTCCTTCCTTCCTTCCTTCCTTCCTTCCATCCTTCCTTCCTTCCTTCCTTCCTTCCTCTCTCTCTCTCTCTCTCTCTCTCTCTCTCTCTCTCTCTCTCCCTCCCTCCCTTTCTTTTCTTCTTTTCTTTTTTCTTTTTTTTTTGGTTTTTCAAGACAGGGTTTCTCTGTGTAGTTTTGGTGCCCATTCTGGCTCTCTGTCTGTAGACCTGGCTGGCCTTGAACTCACAGAGATCCACCTGCCTCTGCCTCTCAAGTACTGGGATTAAAGGCGTGCGACCACCGCCTGGCCAACATACGTTGTTTTAAGCTACTGAGTTTGGAAGAAATCATTATGTAGCAATAAACAATTAATACAGGGAGTGTGGCTGAGAGACTGTGTTTGGGGATACCAAACTGTGGTAGAATAGTGATGACAAGTCTCTGCTTAGGCCAGATGTACCCCTTGTTCTGGGGTAGACTTAGACACCTTGACAAAGTTGGTAGCTCCAAAGGCTACCAGTTTCCCAGATGCCCTTGTGAATAGCTGTTGAGGGATGGCACTTCTCCCTGGAGAGAACAGAACCAATAAAAACTCATTTCAGTGTCTATACCTTAAAAACATCTTTGTTGTTGGTAAGGTCTCATGGGGTCAGGCTGGTCTTGAAATTGCTTATGTAGCCAAGGATATCCTCCTGCATCTACCTGAATGCTGGGGTTTCAGAGTTGTGCCATCATAACTGATTTATGCCATCTGTGGATAGAACTCGGGGTGTAGCTGGAGTTTGCTTGTGTCCTGGCCCACTGGCAGTTGGGGCAAATCTCTCCCACTCGAATTCCCCAAGTAAGCACACAGAGATTTATATCACTTACAAACTGTATGGCCGTGGCAGGCTTCTTGCTATCTGTTCTTATATCTTAAATTATCCCATTTCCATAAATCTATACCTTGCCACGTGGCTCGTTACTTACCAGTGTCTTACATCATGTTTCTCTTCACAGTGGCTGGCCGAGTCCTTCACTCCTTCTTCCTGTTCCCCCAATTCTCCTCTCTGCTAGTCCTGCCCATACTTCCTACCTGGCTACTGGCCAATCAGCATTTTATTTATCAAGCAATCACAGCAGTACATTTGCAGCATAGAGGACATCCCACAGCATCAGGACCTTGTGCTTATTAGGCAAAAACTCCACCAATTGAGCTACTGCCTCAGCAGCTCCAAGGTGAGTCAAGAGACCTGTGCAGGCCTGTCCTGTGCTTCAAGGAGTTTCAAGCACAAGATGAAGCTAGTTTATAAAGAATGCAAAATATTGACTCAACAGCCACATCCCCTGAGCATTGCTGGGTGTGACACACAGGGACAGAGCCTACATGACATCATCAGTGTCTCATGTGCCAGTGATGGAGCTGACAGGGAAGACCAACCTCAGAAACCAGAGTTCCACCGAGACACATGTGTCCACTACCAGCAAAGGCAGCCGGTGGGATGCCTCCCACTGGAGTGACAGCTAACCTTGTTAAGGGGGAGTGTGAGCTGGAGAACCTGGAATTATTGTTCAGACACCCTCAGTCATGCTTGGAGGCCTGCAAAGTATAGGGAAAGTCGTCCCCTAGACATAACCATGAGTACTACCTCTCCACTGCTTAAGCACGTACCATAGTGAGGACAGACAGATATGGGTCAAAGGATATGTGTTCAGTTACGGCGGGCTGTGATGGCACATTGGAGAAAGAGGCAAGTGGATCTCTGTTACTTCAAGTCAGGCTGTTCTACAGAGAGGTTCAGGCCAGCCAGGGCTACACAGTGAGAACCTGTATCAAAAAAACTTTCGTTTTTTTCTCCAGCTAGACATGAAGATCAAGAGACCTAGTCTATAGCATAGTGATTATAGCTGACCTGACATATTCTTACAAATCACTAGGATAGTTTTCACATTAAAAAAAGAACGGTAAATACGTAAAGTAATGGATATGTAAATAATTTTGATGTGGCCATCCACATATACCCTTAGATCAAACATCATGTTATATACTGTAAATATATACACTTTTGTCAATTGAATTATTTCATGGTAGAAAGGTGGACATGATGAAATATTGAATGCTATAAAATATAAATACATTTGAAAAACTGAACTTAAGAAAAAGTAGTATACATTTGACTCTGAAGTAACTGGCATGATATTTTGGAAACTTTGTAATGTGGATATATTTGAATTTCACAGGTGAGGAGCCAGGCATTATATAACTTGCTTCTTCTGAGGTGGAAGCAGGGGCCACACAGGTAGATGACAGTCACCCTGGAAGGTACAGTCCTCTAGTGCCCCCATCTGACTCGGAACATCTAACTTGTGTTATGCTGTACACTCCTGAAGCTCTGGCCCTTTGCTGGGCAGGTCCCTTGAAAGGAAGCCCTTGCTGCTGCTGGGCCCAAAGCTCTCGGCTGAGGGCACTGATCTGCTTTTATCCACAGAGTCAGCAAATGTGAGGGTGATTTATAACGGCCATTAGTGGGGTGCATTTGAGGCCAAGCATGAACCTCTTGCACTTCAGTTCTGCACAGCTATGTGCAGGAGCAGAGAGGAGTTGAATTCCTGGAATCAGTCTAATAAAAAAAGGTGATCCTGTCGCTTTAAGACTTTTAGGCAGTTTCTGAAAGGAGAGATGATGAGTGACAATATGAGTATACTTAATTCTATTAGACTAAGCTTTTAAAAATGGCTACTTCTCCACAGTGAGATGGATTTTTTGTTTTTCTTTTTTAATTTTTTATTTTTTTATTTTTATTTTTGTTTTGTGGAGGAGGTTGCAAGGGTGAAGGGTGGGTATGGAGGGACAGGGAGATGAATGGGATTGGGGTGTATGATGTGAAATTCACAAAGAATCAATAAAAAGTAAAAAAAAAATGGCTATATTAGTTTTGTTGTTGTTGGTTTGCTTTATTTATTTATTTTTATATTTTTGACAGAGGGTTTCTCTGTGTAGCCCTGGCTATCCTGGAACTTGCCTTAAAAATAAGACAACAACAACACCCCCATTGTTTATTATTTATTGTTTGTATGTGTGTTGGAATATGCTTATGCTTTGGCAGTTGTGTGTGTAGTTCAGAGGATCGCTTTAACAGAGGTGACAGTCTTCTTCTATCATATGGGCCCTGGGATGGAATTCAGTGGTCAGGCTTGGTGGCCGTCAGAGTCTTTACTTGATGGACCATCCCACCAGCCCTACACTGATCAATGCTATGCTGCATGTATGAGTTTCACCTCAAGCAAATGTTAAAGAATAAAAAGAGGATACCTGGAGAACAGCCATCATCTAGGAAACAGGATCGTGGAAGGAAGTGCCTGTTCAAATGGTGGCAGGACAGGAAGGGAGAAGTCTAAAGGAGTGCCAGAGGGAACGAGGTCTTCTGGACCTTCTGGATTGCCTTTCCTGTGGTGCCAGAGAGTTGAGAAACTT